ATGAAGCTGACCAAGATTCACGACGTCTTACGTACCTGTTGTGGGCCCATTCAGACACCATAAAACTTCACCGGGATTAATAAGATGCTCCCTCTCGCTCAGGGTTGGTTACCAGGGGAAGCTGAGACCAGTTACACGTGTGCATTTGCTCAGCTAAAGCTCTGCTTGTAGAAAACTCTGTCCGGTTACCTTCTTGCAACGGATCGAGATCTTGCGTGCATGAATGCAAGTGATGCTGTATTTCCTGGTTTACCGAAGCTTTCGTGCCGCTGGCATGTCAATCGCAATGCTCTCGCACGTTTCCAAGACGATTTTGGAACTGTACGACTTTCGCAACCAGGACCAAATGGAGATATGCAACAGAATTTAGTAAAGACCGATGTCTTTATGGCAAAGTATTATGAGGCCGTTGCTTCGGAAACTAAAACCGAATCCGATGAACATCGTGCTGCACTTCGTGCGCTTAGTATCGTTACGGCAAACTATCTGGAGCAAACGTGGTGAAAGAACAAAACACGGATTGTCAAATGGTGGACAGACCGGTACACGCACTTTGGATGCCACGACACGTCGACGATAGAATTAACACATGCCAAGATAAAACGATGGCTCGAAACGTCAAAAGGATATCTTCTAACCGTGTTTGTGAAACTTCTACCATGGTGGAGCGCTGCTGCAAAGACGATCAGCTACTAATCTTCACAAGATGCAGCAATATCACCGCACAGATCGCGTCATTATTCAGCAGTAGTTCGGTTGATCTCGTCGCATGCCCTCACAGAGACGGACAAACTGTGGACAGAAGCTCGCAAGCTTGTCACTACTGGAGGCGAACGAACCCAATGTTCAGGCGTATTTCGGCGACACATGGCAGACCATGCATTCATGAATTAGTGGACATTTAAGAGTCAAATGGTCAGCTGAAGAAGATCTTACCCGAGCACTTCGATATACATTGATGGATTCTTTCAAATGACACACGCGTACAATGTCGGATTCTCGAGCCAGCAAACTTGAACCCCAGGCGCGAATTATCCAACCAGCAAAGGCCATATACTGCTGGAAACGGCTCAGGCAGAAAGCCGTCGTAGTTCGAGAGAAACGACCGAGCAAACACTGTAGATCCACCCGGTTTTTCTTTTCAAGCGCTTCTGGGGGAAGATAATGCCAGTACAATGACATATTTGCAGCCACGGCCATGAAGTTACGCCGGCTTCAATTCATTTTAGTAGTGTAACAGACCTAGATAATAAATTAAAAACTATATAAAAACTACATGGGAGTGAAAGCACTGCTAGGGAGTGGCAGGCTGTCGCTCCGGTGGTGTCGTTTGAAATCTTGGCACCCCCGCGTCCAATGATATGCCATCACTGGTGTGGAGGGAATCCAGCATTACGCTTGTTGTTGAAGAACGACATGGCAACCCGAGTTAAGAAGGTCCGACTATTAATAGCCGAGCTCCAGCGCCTGATACATGTTGTGGAAGACCTGTTGTCGTAAACGGAATCTACCGAGCATTTAGCTCACGCCTCGATTTTTAGCCCTTTCTACGAAAGGAAGAGAGCGCAAGTTAGGCCAGCTTTGCTGAAAACGCTGCCTAGAGAGTTTAAGCCATTTAATCCACACAATGAAAGCTTTGAGGATCTGTGGATACGCGTTTCTATTCATTTGCGTAAGCGCATGATCCTCTTCGTGCAAAATGCAAAGAACTCACGTGAATGATTGCATTATGCACCAATCACTGCGTGAGCCTAGGTGCTGTCGCCCATATGCCGCGCGACTGCTGTCGCTGCCGAGCGCACTGCACAGGTGCAAGCTTCCCGGCCTTTCGAGCTGGAATCCAAGCGACCAGTTTTGTAGGGCAAGAACTGCCTTTATTTTTCGTAGCACAATTGTTCTCTCGCTAGAACACCTCTGGTTGGTGTTCTGAAAAACTGCATCCGGAAGCAAAACATATGCAGGAGCGCCGTAATTATGAGCCAATCAACTTGCTTAAATTATTCGGCATAGAGCACTTGAACCAGGGCCTAAGGCCCTGATTCAGCACCTGGTTTCGAGGAGTTAACTATGCATGGTACTATTCTGAGCGTTTATACGCGAGCAGGTAGGCCAACTCACAGTTGCCGTGTTAGAGACCACGTAGACCAGCTCACCTTCAGCGAGTATCCAGGCGCACAGCACTGTGCGGTCGTTATTTCAGTGTCAGAACTTCCGTACGATAGGAAAATCCGGAGCTGCTGTCTTAATTTCGCATTCAGTAAACTCTATCACCATCCTCTTTTAAAACTAAAGTTTGTCAATTAAGATTCAGTACCACTCTTGTCGAGTGAAACCTGTTTTTTTTTTCTGGTTAGTCCAATTAAAACCCTAGATCAGATTTAAAATTCAGCTAAAAAAACTTCATTAAAATTGACTGGAGAGCCCGAATGCTTTCGCGAAACTAACGTTAACATATGCTGCATTTGTGGAGACGATCATAGTTGCCTGCGAACCTAATGAAATATATATGATTTCACTATGGTGCGAGCTTAATATGCCAGATTAACGGCATTTGTGATAACGACGTCATCACACATTATTGCAACCTTTCACAAACAAAAGAGCAAAATGGCGCGCAGGCAAAAGCGAGACGCTGAGTACTCAGCTTCAGTGGCTCAGTCGCTCCAGTCAAAGAGGACGAAGATAAGCACCAAACGTACATATCAGTCGAAGGTGAACGCCATGACTGCATGGCTGGCCTTGCACTTCCCGCAGACAATCGACAGTATCACGAAGAAGATGCTCATTCCGCTCCCTAAAGAGGCTATTCTGGATTTTTTGGGCATATCTGTAGTCCTCCTCACATGTGTGACCGCGATAACATGGGCGCACAAGATGCGTCAAGTCTTCCCCTTTCGGCGTCGTGTATTTGGGGCTATCGCAGTGCTCTTGTTGACGTCTATCGCGCACAACTTATTGAGTTGGACCCCCTAATTGACACAGAGCTTCGCCGGGTTCTCGAGGGCTACCAGAAGGTCATAAATGATCTACAGAGCGGGGTCTGATGAAAATCAATGAAGGGAAACGTCAACTAAAAGGTTTCGGATTTGAACTCCTGGCTCTGAAACTAATGAAACTTGAGCCTGTAAAGAAAGGTCAAGCCTGGTCGACGGTGTTATTTAGCTAGAGTTTTTTTGTTCTCATGTGGAATTTAATGAGCCGGGCGGATTCGATTGATACAATCATGTTGCAACATATAGAGTGGTCTGCGGATTGTCTAATTGTTGAGGAGCAAGGTCATAAAGGAGATCAAACTGGAGCCGAGAGGTTTGGCAAGCATGTTTATTCCAACCCCTACACCCCATCGCAATGCCCTGTTCTCGCGCTCGCTGTACTACTATTTTGCTGTCCTGAACGCGGTAAGGGAGGCAAACAACAGCTTTTCCTGGGAAGTGACTCAAAGGATCGCTTTGGCCGCTTGTTACGTCGCGTAATCAAGTTTTTCAGCGAGACAGAATTGTGTATACTGGGCTGCATACCGGAGGACATCGGCACCCACAGTCTGCGCAAAGGCAGTAGCTCGTATGCGCTTGGACAAGTAAGTGGGCCAACCCCCGTCTCGGTCTACTTGTGTATGGGCCAAAGTGTGGGAAATCTGAAAGACAGATACATTCATTTTGGAGAGGGAGCTGATCAACTATGTTGTAGAATGATAGCAGGACTGCCATTCGATTCAGAGTGCTTTGGGGTATTGCCTCCACATTTCCCTCCCGAAATGATTTCAAAAATGACGATCGATTACCGAAATGAAGTTATGAGTGGCTACAGTAGCTATCCACGCGGTTTACAGTCGGCTTTTCCATATTTGATAGCGTCACTCATCCACCACGAACATTATCTTCGAGTCACGCTATCGTCGTCGCATCCGATATTTAAAGCACGAGTATTTTCCGCAAATTCCCTTCTCGACGATCAGCGTGGTGTGACGATTCTTGCAATTGGGACGTCACCGGTGTGTGGCCTAAAGGCAACCGGAATTCCCGCACATCTCGCGGTAGGAAAGCAAGTGAACGAGCAAAGAGATGAGGTCGCCACCCTTCATAAAAAATTCGAGAGCATTAAGTCTGAAATAGTCGTAAAACTACCAAATCAAGTTGCCGTTCAAGGTGTTACGGAAATGCGGCAGCATTTTGTGGTTAATGGGGTTGCTCCAATTTCGCTGCGCGATCTGGATACCCGGATGAGCGATTTACGGTCCACAATGGCTACAGAGTTTCGCAACCTTATCAGCGATCTGCAATTGGGTAAGTCTGCTACTACCAGCAAGAGTATTGCGAGGGAGCAGCAATCAGAATGGCGTTCATGGCCGTGGGATGATGGTAAGCTTGATTATGCTGTTCCAATAGGCTGGGAGGTTTCAGCACGAGCGAATGTAAAAACTATGTGGAACCTCTGGTTTTTTGGTGATCGTGGCGCCAAGATTCGTCCATACAGACAGCTAAGTAAGCAGCATGATGTTAGTGCAGCTCATCGAATGAGACACTCACGCGTTAGTATTGTGATGGAGTACCTGGAGCAGCTTGCGAAGGAAACCACCGCACTACCAGCTGAAGTGACTAGAATCTCCGACCTTCAAATCCCCACTGCCGACAAGGTGTTTGATGCTGCCTTCTCAACAATGATGTCAAACCTTTACACGACAATACCTAAAAGAGCGGAGGAATTATCTTGCGGGACGCTTTACAATCGACTTTGAATCGATTGCAAAAGCGCTAACATGAATAGCTGATTCCGTACCCATAACATCTGCCCAATCATAGCATGAAATATAAATGTGATCTGATTCCCATCACAAAGGCCGTCATTATAAACATTATGCTAAAGACCACTAAAGTAAATATCATTACAATCAATACCTAGTATAGTTTAGAATGCTCAATCTGCTAAAAATAAGTTGACGTCTACGCGTTGGTCGCCACAATCTCCGTCCGTCTGATCGATCTCCTTCTCACATGGTGGCGATGGACGAACGAACTCGGACTACTAGCTGGGGCGCTCAGTACTATGCCGAGCAAGAGCATCAGAAGAGCACTCGCAACTGGAGATCGACCCTTCATCCTTCGGTATTACTAGCCGTGTGTGGAGTCACTGGACGATGCGTGATCGCTCCGTTGGTGGTAGCCATTGTCTGTATCACTACCGGGTACTTCACCAGCGCCACATTTTTCATTGATGCCAAACACAGTTACTTTGCCTATAGCCAACTGGACCCAATCATGCGTGGAGGCTGCCACACTTGTCTCTCTTCCTGCCGTAAAGTATTAATCCAGCTTGGCGCTTTCGGTAGTGACGCAATTATCAGTATGCCGGTTTACGAGAACTCTCAAGTAGTGGCCAACCTTGATGCGGCAGCAGGAGACTACAGCAAACTAACCTCTGAAGAGATAACACTCGCAGATAAACTGGATCATGATGGGGCGGTATGTTCTGTCGCAATTGGAGCTGTGAACGACTGGGGGACTCCTAACGTTGCGATTGGTAGCACACCTGAGGGATACTAAGCGTGGTTAACACACTGAATTTGGCATTGGCTCCACAGATGAAGCGTGCGCTAGAAGTGGCTGTGGAGCAAAAAGAAAAGTGTGAATCGCGTTGGAATCTCGGTGTTGTTTTGCGTCTTCACAGGTTTCAGACGAGCAAAAACAGTGCAGATTATTCATCTATCTCTGTTGCTGACTTCAACACGTATCCGGATTATGCAGACTGTCGTCCTGATATCCCAAACCAGGGGATTGTAGGCCTTAAATTAGCCTATGCAACTAACGGAGAAGACTTATTAGCGGTTGTCCCTGATCGACTTGAGTTTCCTTACGAGATTGAGAGTAGTAGTCTACCTACCGTTTCGCGTTACATCAAGACAGTACCAACGATTCACGGATTCAGCCTCTACTGCGTTCGTTCTTCTCTGGTTGTCGAGTTCGTGTAGTGAATACTACTGGGGTCTACGTCGAGGATGGATGTACGCTAATCGATCACTGGCGTTCGTATGGACTGACGTTACAATCTCCCGATGATTTGCCAGTGTGTTCAACTGGTGACGTTTGCGTTCACAACATGTACAACACAGTGTGGGAGTACGTACACAAACTCCCTCGCTGCTGCGGATCCAACGCGAGTAATTCAAATCATCAGCGTGTTCCGCAGTCGATATGCTGACACCGTAGCCTTGAGTATGTTACCAGGTGCTATCGTCGCTCAGATCCTGCTCATGGGCATCGTTAGTCTCTACCAGGTAATGTCCTCCAAGCGCTCTGTGTTGCTATCTCAGATTTGGGCGTATCGCTGCCAGAACGGGCGTATGCAAGCTGCCTATCTCGCTCAAGTCATGTATCACTTCGCGTTCAACTCGGACATGTACTACCTCGGACTATCAACCGGAACGCTGTCTAGTGCCTCCATTATGAACCTCGCGCTAAGTTTTTTCGCCTTCTCTTACTCGTTCATTAATGTCATCAAGGCTCGAGCTGGAGAGCAGGCGCTCGACCGAGACTTTCGATTACTGTGGGAAGTGGTAATTCTCACGGCAACTGGCTGCGTGGCTGGTGTATTATCGTTCTTCAGATACACCTCGCTATCATTTATTGGCGACCCAAATGGTGACTTATTGCGACTAACGTCAGCACGAGGAGCGAAATATTGCGGTTTGAAGGATTCGTGCTACGTCTTTATCGTGAACTTGGGGTTTGTCATCACTGCTGCTGCTCTAGCTCTGGGCTTACTGACGAATTGTATCACTTTAGTGACTAAGCTGTGCCAAAAGCGTCGAGGAGCAAGTAAATACCGTGTCAACAGTGCCGTGAGTACACCAGAAGGAATGAAAATTCAGATAATGACGACGTTTGAGGAGAATTGTCTCGGTGTACCGTTCACGAGGCTCTTCAAGGACTGCAATGACTTTGCTTATGTCACTTACAGGGATAAACGGTGCTCGACAGTGGAGGCGATACTACTCACAGGATATTTGTTCTACGGCGAGCACGTGTACCAAGCTACCGCCGTTGTATTACGGTTTGTGGCTCGTTTGGTACCACGTAAATTCCTCCGAACTTTTAATCAGCTTCTACTCCGCTGGCATTACGACCCAGAGCAAGGAACATTAACTTATGCGATGTCGTGTACATGGTATTCGGCTAGCGCAGAGAACTACAAACTTTCAGAAGCAATGCCGCTAGCATGATCAACGTTCGCGTCCATGAAGCTAATACAAATTGGGTCTCAGTCTAATCCGATAAATTTCGACAACATTTAACTCAGGGACACAGGTTCGCGTGAGCTCAAGCAAGAGACATTCGACTCCTGCGGGCCCCGTGAGATCAAGATGATGTGGTGTGGCGCCCAGGGAATGACTTCATCATTTTCACTGATTGTAAGTAAGTTAAATGCTCAAAGCTGCTGTTGCGCCTATAAACTTATCGGCGTTTCAGCCTTTGAACTGCGCAATTCAAACGTTTATTAACGGACCCATGATTTCAATCCGGCAAACAGCGACGGTGAAATTCGCATTTTGTTCAATTTCAAATTTTCACGAATCCCAACTTGTTATAAATTCGAATATCATCCAATCATGAATCGCATCTTCTCGCCACGTATCAATCAGGGGACAAAAGTTCCATAGCTCAACGTCACTAGCAAATCGACCGAGCGAAGCACTTATCGATCATTTGCCATGGCGCCTAAAGTCCTAGCGCTTCTTGCGACGGTGCTGCTGTGCTGCATCGCCTCCGTCGCAGGCCAAGACGCCGCCCCCGTCGCCATCCAGGCGCATGCTAGCCATATCCTCGTAGACACGGAGGCTGAGGCCGACGACCTGAGTGTGCAGCTGGGAGAAGCCTCCAACCTCTTCCTTAAGTTCGCACAGCTCGCCAAGGAGCACAGCAAATGTCCATCCAGCCGCAAGGGCGGTGACTTGGGTACGTTCGACCGCGGCCAGATGGTGCCTGAATTCGACAAGGTTGCGTTTGAGGGCGAGATCGGCGTCGTGCACAAGGTCAAGACCCAGTTCGGCTGGCATCTCGTGCTGATCTCCCGTCGTCTGGATGGCACGGAGGAGCCAGACAAGTACCGCGATCTCAAGCAGGCGCTGCTAAAGATTATGCCTTTCCTTGGCCCCATTATCCTCATCTTTATCATGGCGTATGGTGCCCGTGGGAGCAAGGGCGGTCCTCGTGCCCGCGCGTTCCATATCCTGGTGAAATCTGAGGACGAGGCTGATAAATTGTTTAAGGAGATCGACGCTGCCGAGGACAAGAAGACGAAATTGTCGGAACTGGCTGGAAAGCACAGCACTTGTCCGTCGGGCAA